CTCCGGGTTTGGGGGAGTTGGAGACAATTAAATCAGAGAAGAATTTACATTTGGCAGCTTTAACGGTTTTCTGATAGTGACGCCAACTCTCCCTTAACATTTGAAAAGAAACCTGCAGCCTGTCCTTCCTCCACCTTCTTTCAACTCTGCGACACTGCCGCCTAACGGCTCGCGTGACGTCATTCAGCCAAGGCTCTGATCTAAGTTTTGTTTTTCTGGTTTTAAGGGGAGCAACACGGTCCAGAACATTTAAACAGGCAGAGTTGAATTGAGAGGTTAGCTCCTCAGTGGTAAGAGACACCGAGAGCTGTTCGATCCTCTCAGAGTTAAAACCTTCATTAAAACGAGCAGCAGTGAAATGGTTAATGGAACGAGTAGTACGTGCAGGAACGCACGTCTTAGTAGTAGGACAAAGGGGGGTGAAGTCAAACAATACAGGCATGTGATCTGAAAAAACATTGTCACCGATTTTCAAATTAGAAACAGAGACATTGCGTGTTAAAACGAGGTCCAGCGGGGGACCGTTTACCTGCTGAGTTAAATTAAAAGAGTCCAATAAATCTAGAAAGTCCTTCACTAAGGGCTTCTCCTGACAACACACATGCAAATTAAAGTCACCAATAAACAAAAAGTGAGTGTATCTTTGTGTGATATCAGCCAAAAAGTCAGAGAATTCATTTATGAAGTCCTTGGATCGAGGGGGGGCGGTAGACGAGTGCGCACAGAACCGGAGGAGAGTGTCCGAGTTCAAAGATGCTCAGCTCAAAGCTGGCGCGGGACACCGGGATGGACAACTGTTTACAGGCCAAGTTTGCTTTAAAAACTGTTAATAATCCCCCGCCGCACCGACCTGATGGCCACGGGGCATTCAAACACAGACAGTCCGGAGGTAGTAATTCCACCAAGGCGCTGGACTCACCATCAGAAATCCAAGATTCCGTGACGAACAGAAAATCCAACTCCACATCTTTAAAAAAGTAATTGAGGATAAAGGTCTTGTTGGAAACAGACCTTGCGTTGATTAAACACATCCTGATAGGGTCCAACACAGACACAGCCGTGGAGGGAGAAGCGCGCGCCAGCGGGCGCAGGTTATGAAGAACATCTCCTCCAGGTCTGCTGGTGCGGCGCACAGGTAAACAACTCCAGGTGTTTACATGGACTGAGCGCGCGGGCAGCTGGCCAGCAGCCGGGCCCCGGGAGCACCACGGGTCAGAGAGGAGAAGATCAGATCCAGAGCGAGTCCTGATAGAATAATCCACACTTTGCCTCAGTTTCACCAAAATCCCTGCACGCTTCCCACGACGTCTGCAATGTTTCCTCCATGGAGAAAGGCCAGGGTCACGCAGAAGGAATGCAGGAATCTCAGACAGGACCAGTGGAGGAGAGTGCTGACCGCTGTACAAAAACTCAGCAGGCATTTCAGCAAATGTACGGAGCTCCAAAAGTGCCCGACGATCATACTGAAAATATGACTCGGCACACTGCACAAACCATTGTAAAAATAAAAAAATACAATACAAGCAGAGAGCGAGAGACGGGCAGCCCTACACACCGGCGCCATCTTGGATCCATTATCATTAAGATGGTTATGATGCTACTACAGATTCAATGTAGTTTCAGTCAGATCCTTGGATAGTCTCAGCCAGGGTCTGCCACAGTGAAGCAACAAGAAGGTGGTTTAACTTGATTATCTAAAGGACGTATAGAAGTAACAAGCGGTACGCTAATGTCCCTCGTCACTGAGGGATTTGAGTAGTGAATGTTTGTAGTTTGCAGGATGAATTTTTCTGGACTGGAATCAAACAGGGAGTGCAAGTAAGCCTTAATGTTTTTGGTGCAAGATATTAAAGCAGGTAGGAGTTGCACTGTGTGTAAGACAGGAGGTAGTTTATTTATTTTTATTTATTTATTTGCTTGACAGTGAGTGCAGAATGGTGGATCTTGGCGAGTGGAGGGAGAAATTTTATCCATGACCAGGCGCAATGGTGGAGTTAGGGGTGGCCAATTGTGGCCTTGGCCCCCATAGATTAATACTTGGACTCTCCAATCATTTGAGAAAACTATATTTTCAAGCATTATAAAAAATAGAAAGCATAGTTTCCTCAGATGATAAAGGTGGTCAGTTTACAAGCGTGTATGTTGATGGCTATCTTGCATTTTGACGTGACAACCTAATTTTTGATGCTGACCTTGCTTATGCCTTGATGCAGTTACACCTAAATGGAAGTTGGCTTTAGAGCTATTGTGCTCGCAACATGTACGCAAAGATGGAGGGTATTTCCAAATCCCCTTTTTTGCTCCCTGACAGGGGAAAACAAGGTTTCTAGCCTAGTCTTGGGTTCCCAGCCACCCACCATCCTGTGCAGGGTGGGTCCTGCTATTGTCTAGGGCTGTGGTTCCCAACCCTGTTCCTCGAGGATCACTATCCTGCCTGTTTTAGATGTTTCCCTGCTCCAACACACCTGATTCAGCAATTTAATTACTTCCTCAAGTTTTGCAGAAGCCTGCTAATCACCCATTCATTCAAATCAGGTGTGTCAAAGCAGGGAAACAACTAAAACATAAAGGATTTGTGTTCATCAGGGACCATGGTTGGGAACCACTGGTCTAGAGAACTTGTTTATCTGTCTCCTTTCTGATGACAGCTTTCCTTTTTCAGTGAGAGTCACCCTGCTGCCTAAATCACACTCTAGTCAAGACTAGAGGCTAACAACTACCGGTAAATGCTCCTCCTTCTATTATATCAAGACCCCGTAAAGACCGCCCATATTTTGGCAGATATTTATCTCAGTAGTGGAGTTGTTCAGCTGCAGTGCGAATGGGACTGGACCAAGTCCTCAGTCAGACCTGAACATTTTTACATAAAGCCATTAACCAATATTTTCACCTCATTTTCATAAAAGCAAAGAAATTTGACATTTTTAGTGTGTTGTTCTTTTAGGCTTTTACTAACATCCTCAAAAGTGTTTATATGTTAATGAAAAGTGTTTTAGATTTGATTTTGCAGTTAAATGAACCAAAATCTGAAAGTCAAAAAATATTTTACCATTACAATTAGGGATGGGGCAGATCCGATCCAGTATCCGTATTGGCCTCCGATACCAGCATAATTTACGTATTGGATTTTCCGATCCTCCTGCCGATATTCCCGATCCATGATGCATGTTGGCTTCAAACTATGGAATGGATTTCCTGAACGGCGGCGTGTCTCATGAACCCAGAGTTATAAGACCCACCTCACATTCAGGAAATCCAGTTCATAGTTTGCAGCCAGCTACAACGTGAGGACTGAGTTAGCAGTACGGTGGCTAACAGCTAACCAACTTTTCACCTAAACATGTCCACTGTGTGGAAGTATTTTACACTAAAAACACCACAAGACAGCATCGTGCAATGTCTGTAGAGCCATAGCGCCACATTAAACCGCGGTCAAGTTAGTTTTACAATGGACATTCGAGCTCCGTGGCTTCAGCGGGGCGCTGCTCTTTGCTCAAACCGAAAGAGGCGACTCGACACCGGCCAGCAGCGTCCAATCTGCCCCGCTCAGTCTGCCCGTCTCTGAGGAGGGACAGACTGAGCGCGGCTGCCCCAAATCAGACCGCCTGCTTCGGATTGAACAAGAAGAAGGCATCGCTGAAACCACGGAGCTCAAATGTTTACCGAGAAGTTACTAAACTTCATAATTAATGACCAACCACTATCATTTGTAGAAAACAAAGGATTTCTCAGCTTGATACTTGCAGCCAAGATATAGTTTTCCCTCCAGGAGATATTTATCAGTACAACAGTAAACAATCATAAAAAACATGATTTGAAAATTATATATATTAAAAACATAAACAGCTACATTATAAAGTGATGTAAAATACTAAAAACAGGAACATGTCTGTTGGTTTATGCCATGAACTTAGCAGGTGTTTGAAGCCATTTAACATTTAATTTAATTAATTTATTCATTCATTTAAATGAAACAAAATTAAAACAAAATCATCAAAAAGAAAACATTGAATGAAAAGAGTGCAGAAAGAAGAAAAAATTATTATATCTGCCCCTTATAAAATATACAACAACTTTAAACAATCACTTAAATTAATCACTTTATTATCCACTTTAAAGCTAGGAATAAAAAGAAACATGTTTTGTGTTAGCAGAATTTAATTCTAACTTTAAAACTTATCCAACATTAATAAAAACTTACCTCAAGTTGCCTTTTTGGACATGCATGCATATATTTGTACAAATTGTACTTGAGAGGAGATTATTATAGCCTCATATAAAATCAATGATGATCATGATATTGGAACTGGATTGATATCGGCCGATACTCAGTTCTAGGTATCGGGATCGGATCGGAATTTTAAAAAGTGAATCGGTGCATCCCTAATTTCAATTATGTAAGTGCTGCATATAGTACAGTGCCTAATTTTGATCTGAAATAAAGACTCAAAACAAGTTTTAGCATTTTTTGAAACCACAATAATTTCAGATGTTTTATAATCTGTTGATTTGTTGGGGAAATATAGGTAAAGTGTTTAACGACTCTGTGAAATGATTGATGTGAGGTAATGTTTCCTGGAAGAAATCCTGAACTGAGCATTCTTCACTTGTCTTGGAGATCATTATCTCCAGTTGGATGCTGTGAAGATGTTTTACTGTGCCATAAAACACAACACAGAAATGAAGCCAAACTCCTCCGCATGCTTTCATTTGAGTCAACACTTGACACTGATAGTGCATGAAGTATTTGCATGAAAAAAGTAGATTTTTTCTCAATGTTTTCCTACATGTCCTTCCTATGGCGTGTTAGAATGTGTTCTTTATGTATTTAGCTTTAATTGTAGACTTTTGCTCCGGTGAAGGGAACCTTTTTATTTCTTCACTTTTTGTCTTGTTGTCCCCCTCCCTTCCCTCCCTCTCCTCATGTATGTGCCTTATACACTCTGGTCTACCACTTCTCCGCCATCCTCCTCTTCCTTTTCCACCTGCGCTCCTCTCAGCCAACGCAGCTGCCGTCCAGGAGGAAAAGGGTGCTTGCTTCCGTTTGGTCAGCTCAGGGAGGCAGTGTTTGCACCCAGTGTCTGCCCAGCTGAGCAAACAGCTCTGCTGCTGCAGTGTGGGCAAAGCCTGGGGCCCTCATTGTGACAAATGTCCCCCTCCAGGAACAGGTAAGGCTCCAAGTCTCAAGGCTTTTGTGACCTCAGACTTTCCTTCCCTATTTGTATGGAACAAACATTACTCTGAATCGCATCCGCTGAGACATTTAAGCATCCCTGTCAGGTTTGTCCTTCACTCAGCAGGTTGCAGAGCTCAATTTAAAAAGTATTCTTCTCTTCACACGGATGTAACTAAAGCTTTAGATTCTAGTAATCAAAAACTTCTCAGCCTTTTAGTTGATGCTGCATATTTAAAATATTGGAAACCTTCAGCAATATAAATTAATGCACATTTAATCAAAGCTAAACTCCTCTTGGTGAATTAATTTGCATAGATTTTGTGTCATATTTGTCCTAAACAGTTTTTGTATTAATGAAGCCTATGCATCTATGTTTATTCTTTGTGTAGATGACATGCTTTCTTTGTCATGTTGTGTGGCTCCTGTTAAAAGTGGGAAGTTCCTCCCTAAAACCAGTAAAGTAGTTGTTAAATGTTCTGTCCCTGTAGAAATGGTCATGGATGAAAACCAAAACAAGCCAAGCATTGTTTCAGAAATAACCCAGAAACAAGGTTCAAATGGAAAGCAGCGATTAGAAAACAGAACTGGGAGCCAGTTTGCTATGACTGACTGAAAAGTTTAGTGTACTGGTTCTCAAACATTTTTGTATTCAGTACTGTTCAAACAATAATTATCTCTCCACGTGCCACCAGTATCTAAGACATAAAAAACTAGTTCTATTTCGTATAGGCTTCGCCCTTTAAGGCTATCGCTAGTGAGTTTATCTCTTCGCGCGCAGCACAGCACTGAAAACTTTAGTCCACGCCCACCTGCTGTGTGGGCCTCACCCCTGGTCCGTATAAATCACGGTGATACTGGGTAATCGGCTCCCATTTTTTCTTCAGCTAGCTAGCTAGCACTGTCAGAAGAACGAAGAAGGAAAATATGTCCAGCTTTGACCAGCACAACTTTTGCTAAGGATGCCTGGCTCTCCGCCACGCCAACCTCCTGCTATCCCGGTGAGCTCTTCCTCCCGAGGAGAAGCAGAGACGAGCAGCCTTGTTCAAGGTAAGTGCCGAGGAGTGTTTTTCCGTGGCGGGCCGCTACCCGCTGTACGACGCCATCGCCTTTTCTAACGTTTTTTCCTCGCGGTGAATCGGATGAGTCCCTCGAAAAAGGCGATGTTAGCAGCAGCTCCGCTGAGTGTTTTTCCGTGGAGGGTCGCTACTCGCTGGACGACGCCACCAGCTCATCACCCTGATCCCATCTGGCCTCGCTGTCCAGCTGTGACGTCACACTGGAACGAGGCTGCAGCTGGGCCTGGCAAGCTGAAGACATCCGTCTCCACCTTCGCCTCCATCTCCAGAGTGGAGCATTTTTACTGATCTGTGTTTTTCCCTCGGTTCTCCCCCCTGGAGCCAAGCCTGGCAGAGGCGCTTGGGGCAAAAGCTTCCAGGATGGACTGGCAACCTATCCCTCCAGGGAAGCATGACCAGATGGTGACAAAGCTCTCCAACTGAGCTCACCATTGCACATCCCAGGCGGTTGCGGCGAACAACAACGTTGCCCTGCTGGTCTACAGCATTTCTAAGAGGCTGGATGAAGCAGACCTGCTGGAGGAGACAAAGAGTTCTCTCTGTAAAGCCGCTAACGTCGTCTTAAACATGTGCACCACCTCTGCGGTCTGCCTGCCCCGTATCGCTGCCTGGATGACCATGATCCAAAGAACCACCTGGCACCGCCTATCGCCATCCTTGTCCGAGAGGCTGCAGAAAGACCTGCTGGAGGGCCCCATCACACCAGAGGCACTGTTCGGGGCCAACTTCAGGACCATCCTTGAGAAATCACAGATGTTCGAGGAGGTCTCAGAGACTGTACAACGTCTGGTGACGTCACAGTCCTCCTCCCGTCCCTCCGGCCCCTGGAGGGACTGCCTTGGCCAACATCAGCAGCAGAGGCGCTCCACAGCTGCGGCAGCAACTTCACGCTCCGCTCCTCCGCCGGCCCCCTCCACCAGGGAACAGCTCCTTGAGGGGAATGTGTGTGTTTTTTGATGATGTATTTTCATTTAACCTTTATTTAGACAGGTAAATCCTATTGAGCCTCAAGGACTCATTTACAAGAGAGTCCTGATTTCAACAAAGAATGATGACAACAATGGACAACAGTAACAACAGCAACAACAATAAACATCTATAAAAAGTCATACAATTAAAATTTTTTTTTTTTTTTACAAATAGGATAGCTTTTGATGATGTATGTTTTTAAATAAAACAGAAACATCTCTGAAAATTAAGTTTCAGCTGATTCCAGCCTGACTGTCAGATCAACTGATCTCTCAGCTGCCTCTCTTCACACATTCCCCACACAGAACGAGCCGGTAACCTCTAAACAGCGTTTTAAAAGGCACCGCAGTTCAGTAAATATCACAAAACACTCGTCTGCCACGTCAGCTAAAATTATGTTTTTTCAGCAGACCGAGTCCGGTAAAATTCCTCACTCTCAGCCAGAGCCCGTTTTTATTTTCTGCTGTTTTCTACCCATTCACGGCGCAGCAGGAGTAAATGTGTTTCTCTACGACAACTGCAGCCTCCACTGAAACGGCGTTTTCACTCAGAAAGCGCTCACGCCTCCTCTCAGTGCGCGCCTGCTCACCTCAGCTCTAATGTGAGACCACAGCCTGGGCTCAGCACAGAGGCACACATACAGCCTTTTTCTGTCTGAGCCCCCCTTGGGTTCCCCCCGGAGAATCTCTGGAGCAGGTGATGGCAGTAAAGGTTTTTAGTCTGGTTGATGTCCATCTGGTTGATGAGAAACATGACACAACACAAAATGTGTGCCCGCTCCCCGAGCGTTACTCAGAGTGTCAGCAAGTGTGTTCCCTGGACAGATGGACGGACCATCTGATCAGCAGGTGTTACACGCTGCAGTTTGCAGCTCAACCCCCATCGTTCAGAGGGATTATAGAGACGGCTCTGTCTTCTCCAGAACAGAGCTCGTCTCTCCAGTCAGAAGTTCAGGAATTCCTGATGAAAACGTGATTTCCAGACTTCCCAACGGAGAGAAAAATACGGGATTTTTCCTCCCACTACTTCCTGGTTCCAAAAAAACCAGAGGGATGAGACCCATTCTCGACCTGTTCATGTTCAACAACTCGATCATGGAGAGACAATTCCACATGCTGACAACCAAACAGCTGCTGGAGAACTTCACCAGAATCACTGGTTTTCACCTCCATAGATCTGAAGAGCGTATATTTTCAAATTTCCATCATTCTGAAACACAGGAAAATCCTGCGTTTTCACCTCCAGGGGATTCTGTATTAGTACAACAGGCTACCGTTCGGTTATTCCCTCGCCCCACACACGTTCTCAAAATGCGTGGAGACGGCTCTGCAGTCGTTACACATGGCAAGAATGAGAATTCTTTTTATCTGGACAATCTGCTTTTATTAGCTCGATCCAGACAGGAAGCAGCCGCACAAACCAAAACGCTGACGTTACACCTGTTAACCTGGGGTTTTCTATAAACTGGGAAAAAGTTCAGTTCGCCCATCCCAGATGATTATCTGGAAGTGGAGCTAAACTCAACCACAATGAGAGCCCGTTTATCACAGCTGAGAGCCAAAGCTAGCTCTGTCAGCTCAGCTCCGCCGTGTCAAACCCTGCAACATAGTGACAGCTCCGCCTGTCATGTGACTCCTGTGACGATGTCAGCAGCCCACATCGTGGTTCCGCTGGGCTTGCTTTATATGAGACGCCTTCAGTGATAGTTTGCCCGCCTAGATCCTGTGCGCCAGAAGAGGCAGATTATCTTTGTGCCCCTCCGTGAGAACCGATCTGAATCACTGGAGAAACCCCCTCATTCTGTCAGAGGGAGTTCTCATCAGCAGGCCTACGTCATACGTCTCAGTCTTCACAGACGTGTTCCTATCAAGCTGGGAGGAAGGTGTCTGTCCCAATCGGTGGGAGCACAGTGGCTGGACAACATGTCGCTTCACATAAATGTGCTAGAATGTTTCACGGTCTGAAATGTGACTCAGCATTTTGCCCCTTGCTGCGGGATCAGCAGGTTCTGATCCACACAGACAACAAACTGATGGCACCTTACACAAACCATCAGGGAGGTGTGTGCTCAGCCCAACTGTTACGCATCACAAAGCAGCTCTTGTGTTGGGTACACAAAAACCTGCTCTCCATCAGAGCAGTGTACATTCCCATCGTCCTGAACAGGGGAGCGGATATCATGTTATGGGGCGGTCCCCACCACAGAGACTGGAGCCTCCATCCCGAGCTGATCTCTCAGATTTGGAGCAGGTTCGGCTGAGCAGCAGTGGATCTGTCCGCCACATGGGAGAATGCCCAGTGTCAATTATGGTTCTCACTGAGCCCATGAGACGACCCACCGTTAGGAGTGGATGCCCTCGCTCACAGCCCGTGGCCAAAAATGCTCCTTTATGCACTTATATCAAAGTGGACAGCTTTTTAGCTCTGGTGCATGGAGAAAGGTGTAGAGGCCATCTCATGTCCACTAGGTGGCGTGCTGTCCTTTCTGCAGCAGCTGATGGACAGAAATCTAGCGTTCAGCACAATTAAGACTAATGCTGCAGCTATTTCTTCCTGTCACGAGGGCTTCAGTGACAGAACAGTTTTTAATCAACCGCTGATGAAGCGTTTCCTGAAAGGTGTATGGAGACACAGACCGCTGCCACACCCACTAGCTCCACAGTGGGACCTCACGATGGTTCTACGCGCTCTGATCAAAGCTCCTTTTAAGCCTTTAGATCAGGTTTCACTTAAATTTCATTCACTTAAAACAGCCCTTGCTGCTGGCTTTGACATCAGCAAAGAGAGTGAGCGATTTATCTGCGCTCTCTGCTGCCCTGCCATGCCTCAGGATTCAAGCTGATGGCAGCTCAGCTGCGCTGAGACCTAACCCAGCTTTCATACCAAAAATCATCATAAGCTCATTTAAATCGAGAATGATAACCTTGGAGGGGTTTTATCCTCCTCC